ACACAACATGATCCATTTGACACTTCTATATGGGCGTAAAAAGTGTGTCTTCAGGGTAACTAACCACAAGCTGGAAACACATGATCAGCAGTGAAAAAGTGGCTTATCACTCTGTGTTGGGTTTGAGTTCTGTGGGCTGTAAGTTTTTATCAAACATTTTTTCAAAACAACGTGTCTTGTTATCTATTCATCATCAGGGTAGAGATATCTCTCCAAAATCAATTTTGAAATATGGTGTAAAAATAAAGCCATTTCTGTCCCACAATTCCTGTAAAGCTGCGATATCAAAGAATCAATCACCACATCACAGCAACACCAACACTACACAAAAGGGTCTGGGACATTACTTGTTGACTTGTCCAATTCATTAATCCAGCCCAAAGGAATTGAGCTAAAACACATTGTTTAACTTTGGTCAATGCCAGCACAATGTGACTTTAAATCTGTCACACAAACATTCCCATAGGCACCTCTGGTATGAATACAGGCTAAGGGTTATTTCGGTTAAAGCATTTTTAGGGAGGAACATAAGACGATTGTTACAAACAATACCAAAAACATTTATGCATTAGAAACTGCATGATGAAACATCAACACTGAAAGGAGAACTTTCTTGAAGAACGTCACCTTCATAGCAACCCGAAAACAGGAAGTAACACGTACAAATGCACACATCAGTGTTAAAGAGCATATCGATTCAGGGATAATTCAGGTTTTTCTAAGTATTTATTTAAAAATAAATAATTAATAACACTTTAGTAAGTACATGTTAATTCATTTTACTCGGTACTTAAATGTATAATATCACAAATTTATAATAAATGTTTCAAATAAGCCACATTTATTGAGCCCATTATTTTTTTTTTTTGGACATCTATAAGCATTAATGTACATTATTTATTTATTTATTTGAGCTGTTCACATTCATGTTTGTTACAGAAGTCTTAAGATTACACAATAATGGAAGCTCAAAAGGGGTAGGCTGAAGCAAGGAAGCTTATGTGCGCCTACCCCTATGTTCAATACTCTCAGTACTCATGGATTTCACGATTTTATTTCCAGATGTAACTCAACTAATAACACTGCATTTAACAATTTATATTGTATTTATAAAGTTACCAAAAAATATGCAAAAATTCAAGTATATCATTTTATACCCAGGCACACACAACCACGAGCGTGCACCTGTTTATGAATTACATTACGTACATTACGACATACGTCAGAAGAAACGTTTCTATATATAAAACCTTAAAGGTTTCTATTAGGCGCTTCATGTAGCGGTTCCCATCATGGGATTCTTTTATGTATTTAGTTTTAATGAATTAATTTTGTTTTAATTCATTTTTTTAATTTGATTAAATTGTATGAATTAAAAACCTTGTAAACACTTTTTATCACTTGTACACACAGGTTTTTTTTTTTTTTTTAAAGAGTGTTGATTTGTTTGACTTTACCTGTAATGCTGTATATGTAATATTAACAATATTATTTATTTATTTATTTTATTTTTTGCATCTTAATGAAATAGTAAAGATTCTGAGAACAGATTAGCATCCAAGGAACTTTACTCAACACCAAACTGACACCATGAAGCCTATCTTCATTTTATTGTTACATTAGGCAACCGTTCCCCCGCCTACCTCCCTCCCTCCCCCTCTCAGTGTCAGCAAGAGCAGGGGGCTGGACTGCACTCACAAAACTCTTACTGGCACTTCAGGCTTTTTCAACATTTAGAGTCAGCGAGAAAGACACAAGACCTACTTTGGGAAGCAAGATTGAGAAAAGGAGGCATTCAAATAAAAAAGCCTCACAACTTATGTTTTTTTTTTTTCCTAGATAGTGAGAGGAAAGTGAAGAGTCTAGCCCTGCATGGAAACAGAAGATAGTTGGTGAGGAGCCTGAAGAAAGACGACCTTTGAAGAGTCTCAAGAATTTACTTGCATGGAATTGATCAGGATCAAATCATAAGCTGTTTTCATTTATTTTTTATTTTATCGGATTTTTAATTTCTCGTTCACACTTTGACCATGAGGAACATGTATCTGCTGAGACTGGGTGAGTCACACTTCAGATCTTAGGATTGAAGTTTCCACAGATCAATGTAGAGACAGATGTTTGTATGGAGCCACTGTGTGGTTTTGCTAACTCAAACGTTGCCCTGCCAACAACTGCGTAATTGCTGCTGTTTTAAAAATAGAGAAACAGCAAATGGCCACGAGAGGAAACTGCCACAGATAGGAAAAACTGATGTCACAATGGGGTAGTTTTCGTGTGAATCAGGGTCCATGAGCTCTAGTTATCTGGAAAGCACCAGATGAATGTGAGTGATGAATAGAGAAGCAGCAGAGGGTTCTGCTCCGGTTCTCGTAGACATTCAAGAGTTTGGAAAACAACCGTGAAGTAAAATAAAAGAAGGATCAGTAGGTCTGGTTATTAGAACATGATTTTGGGCAAGAGAGGACTGCTATGTATGCAAACACTGTCATGAACCTTCAAAGACACTCACATAGTAAAATCACAATAGTGTGAGTTCAGTATGGGATGTTGTGGGACAATAAGTGAAACTGGGTGTTGTTTAGCTGCGTTAGTTCAGCCAAATATGACAATTCTGTCATTATTTACGCACCTTCACTCTTATGGGTTCTTGACTAAATTTTAAAGAACCCTTTATGCTAAAAAGGTTCAATATAAGGAGAAATATTTGCATAATACTTTCATGTTTAACAGGTTATTTGATTTTTTTCTATTAATAAAGTTTGTTTACGAGCTGATTAATTCATAAAATGTAATTAAAAAATATATATATATTTAAACAATTTATTAAAAACTAAAATTACCCCATGATGTAACCCCCAAAATGTTAAATGAAGTGTCTGACAGAATCCTTTAAGGTTCTATATTATCATTTTCTTCTAGAGATGTCTATTGAACCTGTATGACTTTTTTCTGTTAAACACAAAATAATATTTTGAAGAATGTTGGTACTCAAACTGTTTTCATAACCAATGACTTCCATTTGGACAAACAAAAAAACAACAACTCAGAAACGTTTCTCAAAATATCTTCCTTGTGTTCCTCAGAAAAGAATAGTCATTTTTGGGTGAACTATCCCGCGTGGCTTTGATTTTGACAAAGGAAAAATATTGGCGGAAACCGAATCAGGACAGGAAATCCAAGGTGTTTTCATCTGAGAGGCCCAGGATAATGGGAAGGTGGCATCAAACCAATGAAAAACTATGAAGAGGGGGAAATGTTACATACACCTTTCTGTTAGGCTGAAAAGAATAAAAACAAAATCATAAAACAATTGTTTGTCTGATGCTTGGACAATACTGAGCAAGACCACACCTTCGGTTATGGCGGAGTCACCGCTGTGGGTTGTAAAAAGTCCTACACTGTTTCTGTGTGACCCTGCCTGTGGTCAGAGCATGTGACAGTGTGTCGGTCTGAGTGCTGGTTGTGTAAGTTAAATCTGTTAGCTCCAGTCCTGCACAGCACCTCATACTCCTGAATCGCCATCATCTCAATGCAACTGTCATGAACAATGAGTGGAAATAGCATTAGATGAATAGAATAATCTTTTTTATATAATCAAGAATAATCAACTTTGTCTTCTCAGACTGTTTTTCCTAGTGAATAACAATTTAGCCATTATGGGCGATAAATAAAGGCTGATTTTGGCAGCATGAATTACAGTATATATAAGATTAGAAAGGCAAAAACATGGCTTAGTTTGACATGCACGACTGTTGATGCTCAATGGCACCAATGTTTACAAACAGTTCATTTACAGTAGTCAAGGCCAATAATGAAAATGCTTCTATTTTCTATTAAATACAAACGTTTAAATTACATTACTTGAAGAGTAAAAAGTTGAATTGGAAATGAACATGAAAATCAGAATGTCTCAGTATTTTGTTGTTTATATGCAGGTGATAAATTAAAAAAAATATATATATATTTAAACAAAAATTAATGTGGTCTCAGACATTTGGACTTTTGTATGTGCATCAGGCTGTTCACCAAAGACACTAAACATGCAGTAACAGACACTTTTTATTTGTGTTTATAGGTCTTCTATTGGCACTGACAGAGAACATCATGATGGTGACGACCTGCGATGTTGGATTTGAAAGGAAAAGTGGAAATTGCAAAGGTATGGATAAAAAGACTAACATATGATATACAACTCTTTTTCAAGAGCTTTAAGCAATATCAGGGCTCAACAGGATTTTACTTGGATTATACGTCTACATTTATACTGGCCCCACAAAAAAATGATAAACAAGTTTTGTTGATATAGTTTAATATTATTTAAAAAATAGCTGTAATTAAAAAAATAGCTACAAATTATATTGCGGATAGGACACATTTATGAACTGAATCTGCATGCACTCATTAATAAACTGTAACCAAAAATAAAGAAAAAGTTCTGTGGTTATTCATACATTTTCTGTCATTATATAGATGCAGATGAGTGTAAGACTATTCTGCCGCCCGTCTGTGGAGAAAATGCAAAATGCTTCAATACAAATGGAAGTTACTACTGTCATTGTAACGTAGGGTTCACACCAATTCACAATTTCACAGGAGCGGAACCAGCCGAATGCCAAGGTAAAGAGAGCTTGATATGATGCATCTCATATGACCTCTGTGTAGCAGAAACAACATCTGAATCTCTGTTCATCTCATTTCAGACTTCAATGAATGTACGAATATAAGTGGTGTGTGTGGTCCTAATGCAGAATGTACCAATACTGAAGGAAGTTATTCATGCACATGTAAAACTGGCTACATTTCCAGCAATGGGCAAGAGATCTTTATTGCAGAACAAGGAGTTCAGTGTATTGGTAAGAAAGTATTAGAGCTATAGACATTTTCTGGCCATCTATTGTGCAACATTGCTTTGGTCTAATGTGAGAGTTTTCATGTAACATGTTTATTGTCTGTCCCTGAATAACAGACGGAAATGAATGCGACGATCCCAGTTTTTGTGGAATAAATGCAACATGTCATAACACCCCCGGTTCAAATTACTGCATCTGTGCTGAGGGCTTCACACTGAAGTCAGGAGAAACTAATTTCACTGATTTAAATGAACTCTGCATGAGTAGGTTCTTTAAAACTGTAAAGTCCAAGTCTTGACACATTGAAATGTCAGATTATTTTTGATAAATGTCAGATCCTTCTCTCCAACATGTTGTTTTCATGTTATTAAAGGTGTGTGTGACATTGATACATCTATCTGTGGAGGAGGAACCTGCACAAACAGCAAAGACGGCCAAGAGTGTGTGTGTAAGTCAGGATTCACCAACTATGGACACAAACAAATGAAATGCACAGGTTAGTGTTCTGTTAAGATCTGATCCTTTTGGTTTCCGAAATATTTCTAAATGTCATGCTTTCCAAACATTCATAGCACACAACGGCTGCCTGAGCACCATTAATGCAAAATATTCAGTAAAAATTTTACTGTAAAAAGTAGTAACCTGCAATTGATATTTAAATAGCTATTTCTTCCTGATTTAACCCTAATTTAACTAGTTTTGCTGGTATATATTGGGTTGATTTAGTGATATTAAATAATATTTGTGGCTTTTTTGACTGTTGGTCTGGATATCAGTTGTGATCACAGCTGCACTGTTTCTTCTGCGATGTTATAATAGTTATATCATTTTTTTTTTCAGAGCTTAAGTGTAACACGTTTATAAGCAAGAGCAAAGGATCCCAGGTAATTTGTCTAGATTACTGATACAGAATATTACAGTCATTCATAATCAACTAGAGTGCTGATCTCTCTTTTTCTCTGTGTTGTCTGTGTAGGCATCTCCAGAGCTAACAGAACTTGTCTCTCTGATGGCCAACAGCTGTTTGGCACTGAGTGGGAATGAGTCTGTCACGAAGGAGCATTTTACACAAGTGGACGGAGAAAGACTTCTGGAGGTGACACCTTGTAAAATACAATACTTATGTATACCCTTGTGAAAAATAAGTGACTAATTGTACTGAATGTGCACTTGTAGTGTACTTCAAATCTTAAAAAGTAGATCATACAATATTAATGAAATAAAAAGCCACTTAAGTGTACTTAAAGCAAATCGTTATTTCGATGTGCATATGCAAAGTATTTAATATAAGTAGTCTGTTTTTCGGTATTACATTTACTTTTAATATATTTTAAATGTGCAAAATATTTACAAATGTATCATTACAAATATATTTATAAATATATGACCTACAAGTTTCAATAGAAATTACATTAAAGTTAGTGCTGTCAAATCTTAATAGCATCTAACATAAAAGTTTGTGTTTACATATGTGTGTATATATGTATACAATATTAAGTATGTGTGTGTGTGTGTGTGTGTGTGTGTGTGTGTGTGTGTGTGTGTGTGTGTGTGTGTGTGTATACTGTATACACACATATGTATACACATTTACTGTATATATACACATACTGTATATATATATATATATATATGTGTGTGTGTGTGTGTGTGTGTATGTACATACATACACAGATGCGCGCACACAAAGACATTTATATGATATATGTAAATTTAATAATATATATATATATACACACACATACGTAAACACAAACTTTTATGTTAGATGTGATTAATCGAGATCGATTTGACATCACTAATTAAAGTATATTTTAGTTTTTTCATAAATGCTTGTCAGTATATTTTAACCATATTTCAAAGACAAAAGAAGTAATTATGAAATTGCGTATAAAGATGGAATTAAGAATTAAGTGGGTCAAAATAGCACTCTAAATTTCAGCTAATCGCATCTAGCATAAACTTAAACAACATTTTATTTACTTTTTAATAAACATGCAATTAAGCGACTGAAAACATTTAGTTCCCACTCAAGTATAATCTTTTAAAGCATATTATGTCCATAATGAGTATATGTTTGCTAAGTATACTTCTTTTTCACATATGCTAAAACCATGTGCTAAAGAGCCTTGCATACATTAAATAAAGTATCTCTGATTAAAACGGCTCAGCTCAAATAAGTGCTTATACTCAAACATCATCTTAATACACAAATCTGTCCCATTTTACCCATACAGGCTTTTATGAGAGCTTTAGATAATCTACTTCGCGGTGGCTTCCAAGGTAATAACCATGAAGTGTCAGTGCTGTTTAATATTGTGGAAAACATGCTAAAACTGATAGGACCTCTGCTGTCAGAAAGCCAGACTAAGAGATCCGCCACTGAAACTGGTAAGAAACAGGTCTAAACGGAAATATAACACTTCAGTAGCACACACCTTCAGTCTGTTCATTATTAATGTGGGGTTTCGTCCATCAGAGGTGGAGCTGTTGGTAAAAAGAGGCAGTTCTCGACCCGAGGGTGATTTCGATATATCCACCAACAGTACACGGTTTGCATCCCACTGGGACACAGCAACGGGAAATACATACCTCGGTATATATTCTTGATCACATTTACAGAGTAATGTAATATGACCATACCTTTTTAAACACAAATTTGTACTGTCTTTGTGCATCAACCAGGCTTTACCACTGCAGCTCTCCTCAGCTACAAAGATCTGGGAAATTCACTCAAACACTACTTTAACCATTTAGAGACACAGAAAAAGCAGACGTTCAAGATCAATTCAAAAGTATTAACCGCCACTGTTAGTAACACAGAGACTGCCAGTCTGGAGAAATCAGTAACTCTCACGTTTTCTCACTTGGAGGTATGGGACAGTTTGCTCTCAATGTACCACATACAATGTGTTCCACCAGTGTGATGTATTGTTAATGCATGTTTCTCTCCAGAGATCAGATGAGAATCATACCTGTGTGTTTTGGGATCCTGAGCTGGAAGGGGGCGCGTGGTCAAAGGAAGGCTGCACTACAGTGAGCTCCAGTGATGTCCAGACTGTCTGCTCCTGTAATCATCTCAGCAGCTTCGCTGTGCTCATGGCTCTCTATGATATTGGGGTTTGTACCCTTATTGTCAAACAGAACATTTAGAAATGGTCATATAGAAACTAGGGCTGTCAGTTAAACGCGTTATTAACGGCGTTAACGCAAACCCATTTTAACGGCGTAAATTTTTTTATCGCGCGATTAACGCGTTTGGCCTAGCAAACTTTGTAGTTTTTTTCACATGCTTTTGCAACAGGGCGCGGCATGCGCATATTACATATTCATTTCAATGCCTTTGCGCCGCGCGAGGACGTTTTGTTGCTTGTCGACCAAAGCGCAAGCGGATCTAGCTAGACCGGAAACAAAACAACAGGCACGCCGCACACACTTGTTTGGGCTTGCGAGCCGGCCAAATAGTTGGTTAACGTTACGTTCTGAGTGGATGACGAGCGCGAGACGCCGAAATGGATGCCAATAAGATTCTGAATGGAAAGTTTACTTTTAAAAAGTTGCCAAATGGTTGCATTGACAAGACCAAAGTGATCTGTGTGTTTTGTCGTTGTGAACTGAGCTATCATCATCGCAGCACGTCCAGTCTGAAACACCACTTGATGATGGCCAAGCACACACACACACACACACACACACACACACACAGCTGATGTGAATTCTCCGCCCCCTCGTCAATATCAGGACCTCGTCAGTATTTCTTTCACCCTTTTATTGATGGACAGTGTTACATTGTGTGAGAGATTATTTGCTCCAAGTGAGAATGTTAGTGTGAAATTGAACACAGTATTGTCAATGTTGTTTTCAATAAAAAAACACTCGCACAAAGCAAGCCGATCCACTTTTCCATGTTGATAAGAGCATTAAAATGAGAAAAAAATAATGGAACAAAAAGAAATCATGAGACATTTAGAATAGATAAAAATGTGTGATTAATCGCGAGTTAACTATGACATTTATGCGATTAATTGCGATTAAATATTTTAATTGTTTGACAGCACTAAAAAACATATAAAAAGGGAACTTTTTATCTCACAATATTGACACTTTTTTTCTTGCAATATATTTTTTGAATTCTGACTTTATTTCTGAATTCTGAAGTAATCGCACAATATAAGCTCGTCATTTTCTGAGATGTAAACTGATAAAGGACAAAATCAGAATTGTACGGAGCCCCTAAAGGGAAATGGTGATTGATATGAGGTCAAATTATATGTCAAGGCTTTTGTGTTTCCCCAAGTTTTGTGAGAGAACTCAAAAAGCATCGAAATATATTTTTTCCTCCCATCTCATATTTTTTTCATCACCATATGTCCCTTTAGGGGCTCCGTAGAGTTGTGAGATGTAAACTCAGAATTCTGAGAAAAGTTCGAATTGCGAGATGTAAACTTGCAATTTTGAACTTGCATATCTTGCAATTGTGAGGAAAAAAAAGTCAGAACCTTATTTGATTCTGTTGCGGAAACAAGCTTCCAAAGATCACACATTAATCGTGAGGTGAAATCTTGTTTTACTTTCTTAACCAGGATGTATACGAGCTGACCCTGATCACATGGGTGGGACTGCCGCTGTCTCTGGTCTGCCTCCTCATCTGCATTGCAACATTTTACTTGGTGCGATCTATCCAGAGCACTCGCAACACCATCCACCTGCACCTCTGCGTCAGCCTCTTCATCGCCTACTTCGTGTTCCTCGTGGGCATCGCCCGCACCGAGAATAAGGTACGTAATCTCCGTAGTATGTGGCTTTGCGCGAGTTCATAGTTCTGATCATAAACGTCCTGTGTGTGTTCTCTTCCTGTCCTCGTGCTGCGGTTCAGGTGGGCTGTGCTGTTGTTGCGGGTGTTCTGCACTATTTCTTCCTGGCTTCGTTCTGCTGGATGTGTCTGGAAGGAGTGCAGCTCTTCCGTATGGTGGTGCTGGTCTTCAACACAACGCTGAGACCCATCTATATGATTGCCGCTGGTTATGGAGTTCCTGCTGGTATCGTTGCAATTTCAGCCGCAGCGCATTCAAGTGGATATGGCACTGATGGCTAGTGAGTTTTAGACAACTGATGTCTAATCAGAATTTTGTTATTATTTTTTAGATGTTATTTAGATGTTATTTAGATGTTATTAAGATGGTTTCCCTTGTCTTTAGCTGTTGGCTCAACATTGAAGATGGCTTCATCTGGAGTTTTTACGGGCCAGTTTGTGCCATAATTATTGTAAGTAGCTACCGTTGCACTTTCCACAAATAGATTAGAAAACAGGATCTGAAAGGCAAAGACAGGACTGAGTGACATGTGATGTCGCAAGAGTCACAATGACATTTTATTTCATTTATTTGAAAATAAACATTAATAGACATAAAAAGAATATAAATAACTAAATGGGTAAATGGCTTTCCACAATGACATTTTTTTTGCAATGGGAGACAATTGTAATTTTTAATGCGCAAAATTTGGGACGCAGCCGACACACTGTAAAAAATGGTTACCTGTAATCTACTTCAAGCACAAAAAAGTGCTTATTGTTATAACTTAAAGTATTTAAGTTGGTTTAGTTATATTAAATAATATAGTTGAATTAAAGCCATAATTTAGATATATCCATTTTTCAGCCTGCAGGTAAACAACTTATATATATATATATATATATATATATATATATATTGTTGATCAAATATACTGTATCGAGTAGTTCTCACAACAAAAGCCATGTGTTTTCAAATGTTTTATAAAGTGATAGGACATCAAAGTTTAGGCTATTACTGAAAAGTCCCACATACCAGCAGTCAAAATTGGCTGTGAAAGAAATTGAAAGGATGAAATCAATTGTTTAAACACAGTTTTTCCTGTTTGTTTCAGGTTAATGTATTCTTCTTCCTCATAACAATATGGAAGCTGGCGGAAAAATTTTCCTCCCTCAACCCAGACTTAAACAATCTACGCAAAATCAAGTGAGAAATGTTTTTAAACCCTGTATGTGCACTGCCATAATTGTTTCTATGTGAATATATTTTAAAATGTCATTTATTCCTGTGATGTCAAAGCTGAATTTTCAGCATCATTACTTCAGTGTCACATGATCCTTCAGAAATCAGTCTAATATGCATTAATATATATGCTTTTAGTGAGCTTTCACATCTTTATCTCCACCTACAGGGCATTTACGGTCACTGCGATTGCTCAGCTGTGTGTCCTCGGCATCATGTGGGTGTTTGGCTGTTTTCAGTTTAATAAGGACACCCTGGCAATGTCATACATCTTCACTATACTAAGCAGCCTCCAGGGGGTGCTGATGTTCATCATGCATTGCTGGCTCTCAAAACAAGTGAGTCCTGTTTCTCCACTAACTGAGATACACAGATTAGCATCAAATATGGAATTATAGATCAATCATGGCTTTGTCAATAAATAGAAAGCCTGAGACAGGTAATAATAAACAATAAACTCTGACTCAAAATGAACATTAGAATGAATTGCAGTTCATTTATAATAGGAGATTGTTTAGTGAGCGGTGACCAGGTTTAATAATATGGTAGTTCTTCAAATTATTATTATATTTGTAAATTTGGTTTCATGTCGACTGTAAAGATCCCATGACAATCGAAGTCCCTAAAAAAAGTAGTCAGTAGAATTTAGTTCCATCACAGCCATCTGTGATCTGATTTGTGATATGTGATAAATGTCTTTTTAATTTCCCCACAGGTGAGAGAAGAGTATGCCAAATTCCTGTCATGTATCTGTGCACCACAGAAGAGGAAATATTCAGAGTTCGGCTCAAACCAAACAAGCAAATCCCAGGTAAACTCACTCTCAGTTAGGGACCGTTTAGCTCTTGCTACGCCGAAATGCAGTTCGAGGTTGAGCTGCATATCCGTTGTTGGATTTATGTCACATGTGGAGTTTGCAAATGCCACAGCAGTACTGACGTGTGCACATTAACATTTTGATTACATGAAAAGTGTTTACTTGTTGCTTTGAAATCCTCGTCTATCAGGGCATGAGTTGAAGTGTCCTCGTCACAACAATTACAAGGACATAAGAGATCACATGCTAATTGCTCGTTCAGATGGGAAACATTAGCTTCTCAAGGGAGGCGATGATCACCGGAGCATTTTAATCCTGTAATAACTTGTTGTGATTGTGAATGTAAATGAGCTTGACAAAATATCCAATTGTCTGCACTCTTTTACAGACCTCCAAGAGTGTTCAGCACACTGGCGAATCCCACATTTAAGAGGCCATGTCAACAGATCATCGACTTTATTATTCATTTGCAAGTTGAAGTGCCAAATTATCGCTTTCTATGGAAACCACATCCATTTTCTATGGATCTCACATGTCATGCTATGTCAACTAGGGGTGGGCGATATACTGGTAAACACAATTAACCGGTAGAAGTTTGTCAACCACTAGAGATTTTGGACTATCGTCTCTATCGTGGTTACGCTCACGTGACATTGCCTTTCTGTACAGTCTCGAAAGCTTATCGTCTATATGCATTTTTAAGCATTACGGTTTAAAAAATAAGTGATTTCAACAGTTCAAGCGCTTTAAGCAAGTTCAAGTTCATTTTTATTTATATAGCACATTTTTACGACAGCCACTGGCTGGCCAAAGTGCTTTACAGAACAGCAGAAATGAAAACGAAATAGTACCTACATAGCAACACAACACAAATGAGAGCAACGTTAAAACAGGAGAAGCAAAGCAGTATCAGACTCAAATATAAAATGGTAAAACAGAAGTGACAAAACAGTATCAGACTCCAATTTAAAATGGAATGAATCATGAGTGGCAAAAACAGTATCAGACTCAATGGAAAATAGTAAAACCAACCAACCAACCTTAAATATAGGCCATGGAAAACAAGTGCGCCTTTAGAAGTGACTTAAAAGTGGTCACAGAAGAGGCGATCCTAATTTCTAAGGCCAAATTGTTCCACAACCGAGGGCCGACCACAGAAAAAGCTCTGGAATGTGGGACTAATAACAGGTTTTTGTCGCTTGATCTCAGACTTCTCGAAGGAGTATATGGTTGCAGCAGTTCAGATAGATAGCTGGGGGCTTTGTCATGCAGAGATTTATGAACAAATAAGAGGATTTTAAAATCAATTCTGAAATTAATTGGCAGCTTAAGCGGAGCAGTTTCATTTAGGGCATTCAGCCAAGCAGAGTTTAATAGAGCGAGATGTTCGTCGGCATCGAGGTCCAATAGCGGTGAATCCAAAAACGAATGTGCACAGGATTTCATGAAGTGCTCGGTAAATTTTGAGCTGAACTGAGGGGAATAGGACCGAGACAATGTTACATCTACAGTAGAGGAATGAGAAAGGCAGGGAAGAGAAGTAGAAAATAATATTGGCTTATGGTCCGAAAGCATAAAATCAGATGTAACAATATCACTAATTGCCACCCCATAGGAAAGTACAAGAGTTGAGTTGAGTCAACTATCCACTGGACTTAATGAGGCTGAGGAACTCCTTTGATAGAGTGTTCTAATGACAGCAAACGTGAATATTAAAATCACCATTAAAATTGAAACATTAAAATACATATTTTAATTAGTTTTTTGTTTTTTTAGTTAGTTAGCTTGTTTGTTTATTTTACTTATGTTAGTTAGGCTAGAATTCGTTTTTTTTTTATGTGATGGTGTGATTTGTTATACCGTTATTTAAAGCAAGCTATATCGTGATATATATATCGGTATTGTGAAATAAAATTATTCATATCATGATATGGCTTTGGTCATATCACGCACCCCTATTGTCAACAGACCATCGACTTTATCGTTCATTTGCAAGTTGAAGTGCCACATATCTCTATATCTGCTTTCTATGGAAATGATAATGTATTTGGGTGATTCTTCATTTAGGGAAACTTTTCTTTCCCTTAGGGTCATTTTTTTAAATAATGCCTTTAAAGATTGTCATCATAATGTTGTCTCTGATTATTTCTTTTGCACTTTTTAAGTTCTCAAAGTACTTTTACCATGAATTTCTCTTCTATTTATTTAGGTTAAAAACAAGAACATTCTACATACTGTACATTACCATTCAAAAGTTTGGGGTCGGTTTATTATTATTTTTTCACCAAAGCTGCATTTATTTTTTTAAAATACAATGAAAACTGTAATATTGTGAAATAGTTTCACAATTTAAAATATTCTATTGGAATATATTTTCAAATGTAATTTATTCCCGTGATGGCAAAGTGGACATAATATGCTGATTTGCTGCTCAAGAAACATTTTTTTTATTATTATCAATGTTGAAAACAGTTTTATTGCTTAATATTTTTGTTTTCGGGATTCTTTGGTTAAAACAACATTCAAAAGAACAGCATTTATTTGAAGTAGAATCTTTTGTAACATTATAAATGTCTTTACGGTCACTTTTGATCAGTTTAATGTGTCCTTTCTGAATAAATGTATCTCACCCCAAACATTTAATAGTGTAAAGAATTTTCCAATGTGTTTTTTATTTTATTATATCTATGTATCATTTCTTTTGTCTGCTTGTACCATATCACGACACATTATGCTTAATAAATTATTCTTATAATTGGCTCATGATATTTGTTGTGAAGATTTAATTATGGAGATGTGATTATGTCTGCACATCTGTCTGCCAATATTGTTACCTAGCTGCCTATCTGAGCAAATGCCAAAAGACAAAAATAGTCAAAGAAAATAACCAGAGAGAAACAGGATGATCATCAACAACACTACCAACAATTCAACTAAATTAACTTTTAATTAGTCACAAATGATAATAACAGTCATACGAATAATAAATAACAATAATAGGGGAAAATAACTTCAGGAAGAGCATGGCCAAAACAACAACAAACAAATCATACATAACTAACCCAGGAGTCCTTTAACTTACCTAATAAAAGAAACAGAGGATACTAACATAACTCTTCTCTCTTTCCCTTTCTACTCATAAACATGAGAAAACCAGAATACAAACAAACTGGCTCCCTCCCCTTATGTTCCCAACAGGAAGAAAAACATGTCAAAGCATAGAGGTTTGGTTCTCTTTCTGTCAAGAAACACTTCATCACATTATCATGAGACCCCATACTCAAAACCACAAAAAAAAAAACGCAGAAAACGCAAACGTTGCAAAATAAAAAACATTTTGAGTCCCCCCTCCCTTGCCTCACAGTGCTTTGGTCCACTGCCTGCTTTCCCCCTTTACCTCATCTACACACACAAGTCCGGTGGGAGAAAACAAAGTTCTTCAGTAGTTGTGGACTAGGCTGTCAAGGCTATTTTATTCACTTTAAACATCGGATGAAGTGATTAATTTCTCTTTAATACAGATGATGCTGAGTCGTTAATAAATTAGTCATGACAAAAAAAAGATGATAACCGATGTATTTTTCCATGAGTCCGAAATGTTAGCGATTATCTTATTACCTAGCTTGTTTGGTAGCTTGTTTAATACCGTAGCTTGTTGGATAGTAAGTCTCCCACTACAACTAACATGGCGATAAGCCTATGTGTGAACTGATATAGCCTCATATTGTAGATCTACCATTGTGTTTTTGCTCAATATGATTAAGTGGCAGATCAATGGGCTTGCTGCAGTTGAATATCTAAGTAAGAGATGTCCTCTGTCCCAGACGAAACATAAAAAAACTATGTGGAGGACAGAAGATAATGTAATAATTATAATATGACTGCATGGTGAGCCTAAGCACAATTTTGGCTGTATTATTTGTGTCCCCTTCAAAAATTGCTCTTGAGAATTTTTTTGTTTATTGTCCCCAACTGTTAGATGAAATTTACGCCCAAGGCGTACCGTTCTCGCATCCACACTCACCTAAAAATGTTGTGTAAAATCAGATGCAGACAGAACAGGCACTTTGCACAAATAAATCTTTGGCAGCGAAAGCATGCTCAAACCTTACATTCCTTTCGAACTTCGAATTTCTAACTACTGAAGAGGTCTTACCGTTGCTAAGTTATAACAAAACACCTGATAGTATCCTGCCATTCCCAAAACTATTCAAAGCACTCGCTTATTACTGGGAGTGAGGGACAAAAAATCAAGAATCACGCTCACTTTAGCCATCACAGGCTTCACATGCCCCTGACCTAGCTGTTTACCTGTTAATGTGATATCTGCCTCTGCAAACTGACGCTTTGAAAGGTTTAAAAGTCAAGGAAGCATCAGCCAAATGGCTGAACACCGTTTCCAGACTACTCACATGATTTTCCCAGCTTATCCAACTCCATCGCCAAATCATCTAAATATGACTCTCAATTTGTCACTCCTGACAGAACTCTCTGCATCAAGCGCTAGAAAGTGCCTGGAGCATTTTGCATGCTGAACAAAAACCATTACCTTATATTGCAGACTGCTATCAGGAGTGACAAATGCAAAATCTCATAGCTCTGGTCTGTCTGAATCATTTGGGGTAGACCGAAATTATTACAAAACTTCAACTATTTCACCACCAGAGTGATGCACTTTAATCATGCGCAGCGGAATAGCCTTTGGATAGTAAATCGGGCAACACATAATTGGCAAAACATGCCAATACCCAGTTTTAGATTTGGCCAGCCAACCTACAGAGTCAACAATCAATCTTTCAAAAGGTTCACTTAAAGGATTAGTTCACTTCAGAATTAAAATTTCCTGATAATTTACTCACTCCCACATCATGCAAGCTCTTCATTTCTTTCTTTCTTTCTTCAGTCGAAAAGAAATTAAGGTTTTTAAGGAAAACATTCCATTGCAGTTTCAATGGAGCTTCAATCATGATCCCAGCCGAGGAATAAGGGTCTTATCTAGCCAAACCATCGGTCATATTCTAAAATATACTTTTTAACCACAAATGTTTGTCTTGCACTAGCTGTGATGCGCAACACATTACGTAATCACGTTGAAATGTCACGCGTGACATAGGCGGAAGTACTGACCTAGTGTTTACAATGACTAAGTTAAACGGCCTTTACAAAAAAAAAAAAAAAAAAAAAAAAAGGTAAAACAACGATGTTGGACAATTTTGAGGTTGGAGGAGAAAGAGAGGTTGGGGAGAGTTTTTCGCCCTACCCTACATTTTCCACCTACGTCAAGTTACCGCGTGACCTTTCCAATGTGATTAAGTAATTCGTGAAGTCGTGGACGTGCAAGACAAGCATTTGTAGTTAAGAAAGTATATATATATATACATATTTCATCAATTCTACATCAATTTCATCAATCTTACATCAATTCTACAACTTCCTAAAGCTAAGGGAGGCCTTGCACTTCCCATCTTTCAGCAGTATTACTGGGCCTGTAACATCAATACGCTTCTCTTTTGGAACAGGGATATCTATTCTGACAATTGTCCTCCCTGTGTGCATACGGAAACTTCATCAGTGAAAAGCACTCTCTACTCTGTTGTCTGTTCTCAGCTGCCCTTAGTTGTAAACAGAGTCTCCGACAATCCAATAGTCACTAACTCCCTTAAAATTTGGGTCCAAGGAAACACCATGGTTTACATAGAGGCTCTATTCACATGCCCATCCTCAACAATTACTTTTTTCCCTCATCTAGCTTAAATCCTGCATTTCGCCTTTGGTCATCTAATGGCCTTCTCAAGGTTTAAAGGTTTTAAGGTTTATACTCTAAAAAGTATAACCTACCGAGTCATCACTTATTTCAGTTCTTTCAAATCAGACACTTTATACAGGAGCAGTTTCCTCACTTTCCTAATCGTTCACCTGAAACACAAATTGATTACTTTCTCGCTTTAAATGTCAGCCACAGGCATTTAATCTCAATCATTTATAATTTAATATGTTCGATTAACTTCCATGTAAGGTATTTATAATGGACATTGTTTTATGCTCTACTGTTTTTTACGATGTCCTGTTCTGTACTGTCACTGAAAACCAATAAAAAGATTTGGAGTAGAAAATGCCAGATCGTTTGGCTATCAACCCGTTGATAACCGTTGAAGTCCACTACATGGAGATAAATCCTTAATTTCTTTTCAACTGAAGAGTAAATTAGCAGGAAATGTTTATTCTGAAGTGAACTAATCCTTTAACACAGGGATTGGGCACAAGGATGCTGAAGGGATCTTTTGATTCAGCATGAAACAGTTAACCTGGCCCTAGCCAGATGAATTTCGCTCCGCCTAGCTTCATTCATCCATCTGGAACCGATCCATTGAAATGGCGTTTCAGAAGGCTGGGCCTTATCAAAAATCCTTGCATATGATTGGATAAGCCACTTGTCTGTCATCTTTATCGACGTGCTATTTCAACCACTCACACCGAAGCCAACCCGTGATCCGGTCGGGAGAAGGGCGAAAACATCGTTTCCACCAACAAAAGCCTTAAGAGCCGTTCTCTGATGTTCTTTTAATGAAACAATATTAGGTAGATTGGACAACACGGATGAAATAGCAGCATCAATGTTAACGCTTGCTTCCTCGATGCGAGCCGCCATTGTTGTCTGAATCAAAACAGTCTCACGGTCGCTTCTCCACTACGTCACATCTATGAAACTCCCGCCCTGCGTCCTGATTGGCTAAACCATAAAGTTGGTTGGAGAAATCACTCTCAATGGAAGAGGTTCCAGATGGATGTGAGTGAAGCTAGGCGGAGCGAAATTCATCTGGCTAGGGCCAGGTTATGAAACAGTACCATTCAAAACAAACGGTCTATAAGACACAGACTGTTTAAAAGCCATGTTTTTAGTCTTAGCAGCTGTTTTCTGCTTCCAAGGCTCTACAGTCAGTGATGAAATGGCCAGGATCTAAGCAGAAAATTTTCTCAGATGCTCTCCCCGGATTAGACTGATGGATTGGCTTCGCTCTCCTGTCCTGCCCTCCATAAATCATTCACAACCGGAAACATAATTCTCACAGAACGTGAAGTAGTACCACGGTGTGTC